TCTATCAAAAAGCAATTTCTCTCAATACTTGATCCAGGAACTCCTTTGTCTTCTGGATTGGGTTCAAAATTACAAGGCTACGGAGTTGAACACTAGTAGTCGTAAAATCTTAAAATCATCGTCGTCTGCTGTTCAACAACGGTTATAAAACAAAAAACATATGCAACTTCAATGGAAACCTTTTACAATTTATTATCTTACTAAGCAAATTTACAATGTATGCTTCAAAGTACAGACGTAATGAATCTCCGTTGAAACGGTTTCTTATGTATTCATTTTTTCATATTATTCATATTTTACTGTATTCATATTATCATTTACTTCATACTTCTTGGTTATACGGCACTTATACAATTTCAACGGAAACATGGTTCAATTTAACACCTTACGAAGATTGCACGAAATGTATATTTACACCATATTACGGTTCAAAGTACCAATGTGACGAATCGCTTTTGAAACGCTGTACTTACATTTAAATTGTATACTATTTCCCCCCACTTAATTTAAACGCAAATGCTCTTTGAGGTATTGTCCACGGGAGCATGCTATGCGATGAAATGAAATTAGTCCGCAAAGGGTTTAAGCAGAAGCTGTATTTATTGTCTAAATCGAGCTATTTCTTACGAAATTTAAATGAAGAGACTTGCAACAAACTTCATCTAATATTCAGAAACCAATAGCCAAATAATAACTAAAATCTCGCACATAAGAGTTGTCCCCCCACTGACATAAAAATGGGAGGAGTTGAGCTGTAAGAAGTGAGATAAAGTAACAACTATAAAAAGTAAAAGAACATAAAAACTCTTCCATAATTACAGCCTGCTTTTCGAAAAGTCGGCATTAGCACCTCCCGTTGTTACGCAGCCTTCGATCTCTGGGGGATGGAGGGGTGGGGGGATGTTCAATAATTTCGAAGAAGAAGAATCGCAACATTACCTTTAATCATGGGCCATGGTTAGAGAAAAGATGATGACAATGCAGGCTACCCGCTGTCAGTTTTGGCCTTCAAGGATGAAGTGTTCATCTTTTCCCATCAGAAGAAGAGCCACCATTATATGTTATTTTTTGTTCTTTTAATTTGTTCTATCCTCTTCCAATGTGATTCTTATTTCTTCTTGCTTGAATTGGCGCGGGATTCTTCTCCAAATCATAGTCAATTTTTTTATTTTATTCTGTGGGATCCTCCCCTTTGTGACTGCTGAGTTGGTTGCTCGCGCTTCAATTAAGCCCCCCCCCCTTATTTTCCGTTCGCTTTACCTTTTTCGCCGCGTGAATCAACAGGTTGTTTAGAGTTCTTTTTTCTTCTTCTTTCAGTTCTGAAAATAGTGTTTGTGGATTAGAGAATAGATTGGATGAATTGAGCATTTGTTGGTGAAGAAAGGGTTATTGATTCAAGAGATTTCCGATGTAAAAACTACTTACTAAGAACGTTCAGTAGCAAAAAATGCATTTTACTTACTTAGCCTACCTACTAGGTTACAAACAATTAGAATAACAATATTTTAAATTTTGCTGAAAAAGAAGACATTGATTTTTGAAACTATTCATAGTGATACTTTTTTAAATTTATTTTTATTGTGAGCATGGTGTTCCACAAAGATGACCCTTAAAATATACTTTTAGAATTCTTTTCACAATGAAGATTTCAAAAAATATATACAAATTAGGGAACATTTAAACGAGGAAAAAAAAATACTATCGAAATCTTGCAATTGAAAATTAAGGACGGCAGATCATCTTCCAACTCAATCCTCTTCCAACTTCTCTCTATTTTATCCTGCAATCAATAAACTTTCGGAGCTTCGTACACCCGCTTTCCTCAATTATGATTAGTCAGATTTTGATAATGTTTTCAATTTTTCCTCGTTTAGCTGTTAATCGTTAATGTTTGTTGAAAAGGACTTCTTCATTACTTTTTTTTTTAATTTGATAAGAATTTCTTTTTTACTTCATTTTTATTTTGAGAAGAAGATTTCTTATTTACTTCACTTTTACTTTGAGAAGAATCCTTATTTGCTTCGTTTTTGAGAAGAATTTCTTCATTACTTCATCTTTACTTTGAAAAGGATTTCTTGTTGACTTCCTTTTTAATTTGAGAAAAATTTCTTATTGACTTCGTTTTTGAGAAGGATTTCTCATTTACTTTATTTATGAGAAGAATTTCTCCATTAACTTTATCTTTACTTAGAGAAAGATTTTTTCATCACTTCATTTTTACTTTTCTTATTTACTTCATTTTTGAGAAGGTTTTTTTTCATTATAATTTAACTTTGAGAAGGATTTCTTATTTATTTCATTTTTGAGAAGGATTTCTGCTCTATAACTCTAAAGGTCGTATGACTGATGTATGACTTTCCTGGCTAAGTTAAGTTTGAACATAGTTATGCTTGTTGACCACCAATATATAATACCCACAATACTAGATAAGCGATTAGATTCCTTCGCCGTCAGACTGTCTGAGTGGGGAAATAGCACTTGGTAAATTCAAAGTTTAGGATCTAAGTAAATTATAAATTGGAAAGAAAAAGAAATACTCAGTGGGATTTTTAAACACTTCTGCAATAAATAGGCTTAAAAAACTGACTGATATAGATCATTTATCACTACTAATGCAGATGCTCATTTAAGCTTATTTTTTTCTACTTACGCTGAATTTTAAATTCTAAAAACGAAGTTTCTCTTTGTTATCATTTAATATTACTTAAGAAAACAATGAAAGAATTCTTTGAAAAAAATTATATAAATTGACTTTTTAGTAAGTTTGTGAAAAACCACTTTTAAAATGTTGAGAAACATCAGGAAGCTTTTTACGAAACAGTAAAAAATATTTTCAACAGGAACCGCCTTATTTATTTAATTAAAGACTTATTCAATTAATTAAAGACCGTAATAAAAGAATTATTTAATTAATTGAAGACTTATTTAAATAAAGACTTTAATTACATTAAAAAAAATCTCGTATATTCTGTAGTCAAGCATAGAATTTGAATTCTAAAATCAAAGTCCTTCTTAGGTGTTATTATTAAAAATTGTTTGCTCAAAAATAAAAATATAACTATGAAGATCTTTGCGAAAAAAATATATTAAATGTCATTTTAATAAGTATGTGAAAACCAAGTTTTGGAATGTATAAAAAAATCAGGAAACTATTTACAAAAACATTAGATATTTTTTCACCAAAACCCATCTTTTATTAATTAAATACTTATTTGAAGAATTTAAAATAATATTTTTCTCTTACAACCTACCAGAACTGTTCTTTTCAACTAAAAAATTTGAGTGCTTTCAATGTACCAGAATAATCNCCCTTAACAATCAAATTGCCCCCTAGTGGGGCGTGGACCCCACGTTGGGAAACACTGCTCTAAGAGAACTTGGAAATTAAACCTCAGAATTAGTTTGGTTTGACCTTATTTTTCTTCAAGGCCTTTTGAAATATTTATATTTTTGTCTAAATTTTGGTTTTTTACTTTTCTCAAAAAATATTTTGTTTATAAAAAGAAATATATTTTACGGTAGATTTCTATGAAACAGTCATATGTAGTAATATGAAAAACTTATGTAACTTATGGTAAAGAAATTTTTAAGACAAACTATGAATTTCCAAAGAATTTCTAGATTATTTCTTTTTTAAGGAGAAAGAAACAAACATAATCTTTGTCCTGATTTCAGAAATTCTTAAGATTCAAATAATGTGCTGAATTTAAAATACATAAGAAAATCTTTAAGCGCTTATTAATCATTTACGATGTCGTTATTGTTTATCTGGTTCGTAAAGTCAGTGAATGTAAAAAGATGCTTTCATAGCTCAATCGATTGTAATTTTTCATGGTAGAAATTCTTATCTTGTAATTAGAGTTAGATTATTATTACAATTTCAATAAAAATAGAGTAAGAACATTTAGTTTTGAAGGATATAATTTAATTAAAAAAATTGTATGAGAAAATTGCAATTTTGTAATGGCATTAAAATTAATTTTTTTGTAAATCATACATATTTTATTCAAAATTGTAGTATTTACTAACTTTTAACTTTTTAACTCATGTCATAAAAATGCTATTTTATTTTTAAAAAATCATTATTCATAAAAAGTATTCGATTGTAATTTTTATTCAGAAGGAATGAAATTCATAATTTTAAATGATACTGAGTAAGCAAAAGTAACATCAATTTCGTAAAAAAATTATTAAAACATAAGTATACACTTTGATAACAAAAATAATATAAATATTTAGGTAGTAATTCGGCAGCTAAGAAAAGAAAAAAGAAAAGAAAAAGAAAAGAAAAAAAAAATACTTTGGTATTATTTTCTCAACTATTTTCGCTAACATCACGCCAGAGTCATTTTGGTATCTCTTAAATTAATTTTAATATAGTAATTTATTATAAAAATTGACAAAATGCGAACATAACTTATTGCTAAAAATTAGATAATATTTAAATCTGAACCATTTTTAGATTTGGGGGAAATGTTCAACGGAATAATACACAAGTATCAAAATAAATAAATAAAATCAAATAGGAAATGAAATGCAATGAACAAGAGGGCTTGATAAAATCTAGAAAATAGTCTGCAAAAAATAAAGTTAAAAAGTCGGGCTGGTTTGTTTAAAGCGACACAAACTATTTCTAAAGAAATCCCATTTTATATGCTTTTCCCCTTGAAAAAACGATAGACAGATTTTTTTTCTCACATAAAAATAAAAAAAGTAAATAAAATAACTATCTATAATAATAATATAATAATTTTTTATAAAATAAAAAAAGTAAATAACATAACTCTATAATAATAACATAATAATTTTTTATAAAATAAAAAAAGTAAATAAAATAATTCTATAATAATAATATAATAATTTTTTATAAAATAAAGAAAGTAAATAAAATAACTCTATGATAATAATCATATAATAATAATTTATTATTTTGTTAAATTTTACTAATTAAGAACAGATTTCATGATTTTCACCATCCAGAATTTCGCAATGTAACATACCAGATTCTATGACAGGAGACCTGGAGCTTCGCCCCATGTCGTCTTCAGACATGATGTCATCATCTTGCCTCAAGGGACTAGAAGATGAGGATGAAGTTGGGAAGTGATGATTGAGATTCTTGAGATTAAGACTCCTTGCATCCAGTTTGTCGAGACCATACCATCCCAGTAATTCGTTCATTGTAGTTTCAGCATAATCCTGAGAAAAGAAGATTTCAGCATAAAAATTTGTAATGAAAGTCAAAAAAGTATTCTAGGTTTTTTTCATACTTCCATTTCCGGTGTATTTAGTGACTCAGTGGACCTATTATTATATTTAAAATAATTTATTTTGTGGTAATTTGGGGTTTAAGTCAACCTCTGAATTCATCCTTTATTTAAAAAAAATATTAAGATTTTTGTTTTCCACACTGAAAAAATAAATAATACTCAAATTTCACGAAACTTTCTTCATTTATGGCGAAACTGTTTCCTGGTATATGGTCAAAGCAAATTTTATATATTTTTAACTATTTTTTTTATAAAATTTTATAACCCTCGCTGAACAGCTGGTCCAACTTTGAATTTACAATTACAGATGCTCAACTTCATATTTTTGTAGTTTTGAACCGAATCCAGAAGACAAGAGAACTCCAGGATAAAATATTGGGAAAAATTTGCATTCGATGAGGACGTTTAGAGGGAACACTAATCCTCATTTACGTTACATGGTTAGGAAAGCCACGAAAACCTCACACGGTTAGCCCACTGGTAAGGGAACTCTAACCCATGATCCATCTACCACTGAGGATATTTTATCTCTGCACTGTGATCGAGATGAGTTGGGAGTAGAATGCGTATCGATCAGACAACACTGGGATGCGAACCTGGGTGATCTATTCCCTGAGCCATCGTGGCTCCAAACAGAAGACGTTGAAAACAAAATCTCTGTGTCCAAGCGTGTTACCCGTGCATAAGTCGATTCCCCAAATTTCATAATTTAAGCGGGTTCACGTAGCCGCCGGAAAATACTGTAGCCTATTCATTCTAGTTTATGGCATCATACAGGATTAATAACCCCAGATGTGTACCAACGGTTAGTTCTTGCTGGAGTCGCAATTCTTCCCTGCTCTCTGTGTTTTAAATTTCAGGCAATTCTAGATTAAAATTATCAAAACCAATAAATAATTCTCAATTTGTGCAAATTCTTTAAAATGTCTTTGCTAATGCAGGGTATCTTAAGTATTAAAAATCCAGACCACAAACATTTCACAAAACTGGGACTACTCTCATATTGACGTTCTGCGCCATTTTCGGAATTATCACAGAGAGCGCTAGCTAAAGATTGGATAAATTTAACCTAATAGTTATGAATAATTATTGCAAACTTACAGCAATTAACCCACTGACGGTTCTGCACGTAAAAGTCGTATTTTAACCTGCAGTCTTCCCCGCATAGCAAACACGGCTTCTCCATGTTATTAGATAGAGAAATCGTGTATTGGTAAGATACATTCTCCTAATTTTACTCATCTGCTAAACCGCCAGTGGGATTTAATGCAAGAAAGTTGCCTTTAATTCGAGAGAAAAAAAATATTGATTCATATGATGGCAAATCCTTCGAAAAACAGACTTAAAGGATTTTAGACTATGAATAATAATGAAGATAAAAAGAAAAAAAGACGAGAATCTTTCACCTTAACTCAACCAATTCTAAGGGGAAATTTTCTAATCACGTTTGGTTCACCAACTACAGACAGAAATCAAACAATTTAACAACTTAATCTTTAAATTAAACTTTGGTTAAGAATAACTTGTTTGGACTGAGAATAAAGTGTTTTTAAATTTACACAATAGTCCATCCTTTTTTTAATTACATCGGTTATGAAAAAAATTTTAATGCCTAATTATGCGTGATAAGAAATTTTTTATTCAGACGATCTAAGCACAAATTTAATAGTATAATTTTTTTTAATATTTGTAATTTAATTATTTGCAGTTCGGACTCGCGATAGATCCAAAAAGTACAACAGATATGTTCGAAAGGTAAAATTTCTGGAAAGAAAATGTAATTATGATAAAAGTTTGAAATCAAATCATGCTATCTGTATTATATTATTGTGAAAATTAAACTATCTTTAACATCAGCAATGGTAGTTAGTGATTATAAGAGCCATGAATTCTAGTTCCCCAACGAGTAAAAACAACGCTAAATTCTGGTTTGCACTGGTAACCTGCTACTGATAATGCATATATACTGTAAAAGATTCTGATCAAATTAACGTATAAAGTATGGATGCTTCATCCGTAAAATCCATTTTATCGTAAAATCCATTTTTATAGCAAAAAAATATTATACCTTAGTTTTTACAGTAATATTGATTTATTTAGAGTGGTTCAGTGATTTCACGGCAATTATTACTGTAAAAATTACGGTATATCAATTTTTTTTGTTTGTTCCGTAACGCGTTCCGGTAAAAATTAATTTTACAGCAAAAAGTACCGGCATCCTGTCTATAAATTCAGCATGTTTATAAATTCAGTATTTCTTATGTACTTCAATTTATAAATTCGGCATATGCGCTTTTCTTCATCAATTAATTTGATTAGCGTATTGAGCAAAAATAAATTCATTAAAAAAATATTGTTATAAAATGTGAACACTGTAGAAAATTTACGATTTTTTTTTCTTTTTTGGTTTTATTTGTTTCGATTAAAATTGTATCTCTTAAAAATGTAGATTTAGTTTTGATTTATTGAGACAAATAAATCAATTCTTCACTTTTCTAAAATTACAATGAAAATAAGTCTTATAGTGAATTTATGAGTCTATGAATTTCTTATAGTGAATGAATAACGCTAGCTTTACTTAGAAATTGTTTACTTTAGATGTTTTCACTATTTCAGTAAAGGAAAGTATATTATATATATATATAAGTATATTACATATATATATATATATAAAAACAAAATCTCTGTGTCCAAGCGTGTTACCCGTGCATAAGTCGATTCCCCAAATTTCATAATTTANGATTTACCCATATATATATATATATATATATGCATATGTATAACACAAAAACGAGACAAGAAAGAATTAAAGAAAAGAGATTAACAAAGAATAAAAGAAAAACTATTAAAAATAATTTTAAATTTTTAAAGAAAGTAATAAAAATTATAAAACCAGAAAGCACAATAAGCAAAAGTTACAATCTCGTCTTGAGCTCACACAATTATATCCTCAAATTACTAATATTGTATTAATTTAGCCAAAGCAAAATATATCAATACAATAGTTTGAGATTGTATTGACTATACTTAGTATTTTTATCGAGGCAAACTTCTTCTTAGGTAGATTGACTGTCTTGAAAATACACGGATACTCTAAAAATCTAAAATTGGAGGACAGTTGCCAAACTGAGAGACGCCAGGAAAAGACTTCAGGGGAAGGCCAGGACCCTTCCGGGGCTGTCGTGCCTCTGAGGAAGAAGAACTCAATCTTAATGGTTCGAATGCCTGACACGATTAATTAGAGCAGATGATATTTTAAGTTACGAAATCAAGCGCAAAAGCGCATATTCTCTGAATATGCTAACCTTTTTCTGGCGGTTTTTTGCTTATTGATCGTGAAAATAGGGAAAGGACATCCGCAGTCCGGAAAGTATAGTCCCAATAGTTCAAGTAGGACTGTGATCGAAAGTTTCCTTTAATATTAATTCCTTCATTTTTTGAGGATCAAAATCTCTCTGAAAAAAAAGCATATTTAAAGTTAGGGCCTTGAACCATTAAGGTTGAATCCCAATACGGGAAAATTTTAATCATAAGATGAAAAGTTATCTAGAATGTTCGCTTTTTTATCTTGAGCTCCACCAAAAAATCATTTTCTCTAATGCATTTTAAAAAAGTTCAAGCTGCACTGCATACAACGCCTTCATTCTGAGTCTGAGTCCGAAACAGTCCAAAATGAGAGAGACGGTAAAATGAAATAATTCTATTTCATATTTTTCTTTAGAAGAGTGCAACAAAGCAACAATGATTAAACTAAACCATAAACCACAGAAAACAATACAACCGCCCATTCTTTAGGTCTTCTCTTATTGCAGACACCCATAAATAATGCACTTTCTTCTCGGAGAGAAGGGTGGTTTCTGTCAGGTTCAGAAAAACTTGAAGATTGAGAAGCGGCGAAATGGACAGAGCAGATGTTGAATTCCGCTGATGGAATGATGCTTCTAGTGTTTGTTCTCAAAGGGAACGAAAGTGTAGATGATGCGGAATAAAGTTACTACTCTCTTGTCGAGTCGAAAAGAAATCTCTTCCGCAGATATTTTTAACTTTTTACTGACTCCCATGATATTCTATTCTCACCCTCCCTCTTTTTTTTATAAATCCACCCCCTTTAGTACAGAAAGATATTTAAAAGAAAGGTTAATATCAGTTTTTACTGATTGACTGGTAGTATTCAATCAAACTGGTGTTATTAATCGGAAATTATGAAATGAAAATAAAAATTCTTGTGAGAAATTATCAAAACAAATAGGCTCGCAGAACAAACAATTAGTCCTCTTTCGAGAAAGATTGATAAGCATTACTAAATATCGTGTAACTCCGTGTTTGGGCTTTCATTATGAATTTCACTGATGATTTTCTATCATAAACCAGCATACTTATTTTAACATGCTAAAAGATCAGCTGTTACCTGCGACATTTGCATGATGAGCTTCTTGCTGTTGGCGCCCTTATTCTTCAAGATGACGACAGTTAAGTTTATCAGGTTGGAACAATATGTGATTGGTCTTATGAACTCTCATGAACCTTATTATATATCGATTAACCAGCATAATCACCCGACTTGAACTCCAGAGAAAATCTGCAGGACATCTTGGAGCAACGTTGCAATTTAGTGGATTTTAGTGATCAAACCCTTTGACTGACTGACTCGGCAAAACTCTTGAGGACTGACTCACTTAAATACCAAATCCAGATGGTCAGAGGAGGAATTACTTGGATTCAAATAAGGATATCCTTAATTTGTCTTGAAATTATTAAGTTTTCATCGAGTAAGCTTATGATTTTATCTGTCGTTGAACAGCTGACCCAATTTTGAGTTTACGACTACTAATGTTGTCTACTAACTCCCTAGCCTTGTAACTTTGAACTCAATCCAGAAGGCAAGGAAACTCCTGGATCAAATACTGGAAGAAATTTGCCTTCGTGGAG